ATGAGAGCTGTCTACACCAAAATAAGTCTAAAATATTTGTCCGCACATTTATTGTCACAATTTAACCACTTGTTAATAATGGAAATTACTTAAACGCGACTTGTTTAATCAGTTGACATCAATGCAACTTACCTGCAGACAGTGCACAACAGAGTATCATTATTGAGCAATTATTAACAGGAACGTGTCTTGGCATTAGGGTTAGGGTCGGGTCAGATATGGGCAACGCAAATGACAAACACCCAATTGGCAAGATGTACATTAATTAACGGGTTATGGCATGCATATAGTTTACACAAGTAAAAACACAAAATTGGCAATTTTTTGGACAATTGTAACTCAATAATAGAAATATGTTGTATTTCTATATATATACACACTATATAGTCTTATCAAATGCAAACACACACTCGTGGTACAGTGGACAAGACAGTGCGCTGGGAACTCAAAGATTGCAAGTTCGAATCACGGACAGGACACTCCTACAAGACAAGATATGAAAGAAAAAAAAACATAAACAGCAACTTCTGTATATCAAGAACTCAAGTATGAAAAACAGAACACAAGAAACTACCTCACATGGAAGCCAGTCGAAGTTGTTGAAGTACGAACACAGTTGACAGCACCAAACTGCATGTAATGATGTTCTATCATAAAGAATTATGGGTATTTTGGGTGGCAAAATTGACCTGAAAATTGCCTTAAATAATGCCATATTTCATAAAAAAAAAGTTAAACCTATCGTAAACCCAAACATTCCATCCCAATCCCCTCCCTAATAACCATACTTGTCCAGAAGAGGGGCATATACAATTAAAATGAGGAAGCAGCACAACCGGTGCATGGTTAGCATTATAGGTGAGGTGATCCTAATTAACTCTTACCTACATACAAATGTACAGTGAACTGTTTGAACTGAAAATAATATAAGATGTATATGATTGTCTTGTATTGTATGAGTAGTTTAATTGTATAATTTATTTTAACAAGCTTTAATACAGCAAATAACAGAACTGAAATGTCAGATTTCATTATAGATGTAATAAAGCAGCCACTTACCGCATTCGAGTCTATTTTACTATCATAATACTCTGATCCTTTGAAATAACTGAAGTCGCATAATATATCTCCATATTTGACCTGTTCAACTTTGTGTTCTAATTTGAACACCGGCGGAATGAACTCCGACAACCGTAATAATTCCGCAATTATTGCATTGCCCCGAGAGACCAGTTTTAATATTGTTTGCCCGCAAAGATTGTTTTCAGCCAGAAAATCTGTCATAGTTGCACCAATAACCTGAACACTATAGGTTGCAGCACAACTACAGGAGTTTATTTTCGATGATATCTCCCGATCTGGCACCTCAACTAGCAACAGACAACGCCTCCCTCAGATTTGAGTGATGGTCGATCAGCAGTGCTGGCTTCCGGAAGTAGAAATCAAAGAGACGATTTCGTTGATTTTGGTAGATGCACAGTAACTACCAGAATGTCTTACGATTCCAAAGTTTTTACCTGATTTCTGTATTGAAAATTGTACATTTCAGTGCCAGAATAAAGGCACTGTCACCAAAACATACAAATGAAACTTAACCACTTCATTCAGTCAGCCATGTTGAAATGATCACGTGTCATATGTTTACCACGTGACTGGTGACCTGCTACCAGACGTTGAGGTCATGGTGACAGTGATCTTAGTTCTTCAGTGATCTGGCACGTGGTGATCTGGGTTTGGGACAGCTGCTTTGCCGGTTATGTGCGCCTTATCATATAGAAAAGTATATCGAACAAAACGCTGCCTTTATATTTAATTTCACTTTTAGTCAACACTATTGTTTTTAATTGTAAAATTATATGGACGAGTATGTGTAGTTTTTAGTTTCAATTATACTTGCTTGCAGCCTGTTGCCATTCCGATGAAAAAATCTTTAAAAATAAATATAAGTTGCGTAAACGAGGGGTGAACGCGAAAGTTCTGTAACCGCGAAATCTCTTCGGAAGAATTAAAATGGTTACATAACAAAGAGAACATGGACTCACTATAACAGAACTCACAACAATATACGAACATTATATCCACACACAAAAACACAATTATAAAATACAGAATTCAAGATACAGAACTGTAAAAAGCAAAAGGACAAATAAAAAAGGTTAATTTAGGAGGAGGTGTTTAGTATTGTTTGATGTATATCAATACATGTAGATACACTTGCAATTCGGTAAGGGGCGCGAAGTCGACAGCGCACTTTACCTGAGTCCTCTCCCTACGTTGTAAATCCGTGCGTAGCTACTTTGGACGCTTGTGGCATATGTCTGAGAATAGAGGTAATTTAAAAACAAATCTAATTAAGTATACGATCGAGAAAACAATGGAGTTCTCTAATACGGGTGTGCAATGCTTCAATGTTTTGGCACGTCCACAACAATAGTTGTAGATTGTTTTATTTTTATTTCCAACAGAACTTCTATATATATTGTTTAGAACGTAACGATGTCGTCAGCGTATCTCCAATAACGAAATTATTTGAAATCTTGTGTCAAAAAAAAGTTGCTCTGGAAGATACTAAATAACTTGCTATAGCCAGGGAGCTCCCTGCTATAGCCTAGCCTAGGTACAGCACGCGAAAGGGAGATGGCGACTCTCGATCCCGCGGTATTACCGTGGACTTTAGAAGGTCGCAATCTGATTAAAATCCGATGTAGGCATGAGGCTCCATTTTTTGTTTTTTTTTGTTTTTATGACTCTTTATATAATATTTAATTGTGTTTTAGTTTGAATATGTCGTATACAAATCAATATTATATAAAGAATCATAAAAAAATTATAATAAACAACAAATTGGAGCCTCGTACCTACATCGGATTTTAATCAGATTGAGAAGGTCGAGGGTGTTACCTACATGACACTGGTTGCTTCAATGATCAATCACAGTCCCGACAAAGTCAACATAATTCCCCCTTCAACAAATTTGTGTAAAACATGTTGAAAAAGCGACATGCAATTTTAGCGAATTGTTGTAAAATGACGTAATAGCGAAATGCTGATTTAGCAAATCTCTCTTTTCATTGTTGATTTCCTGTTTTCATGATACTTTTCTGACGCTCGCCAAAAAAATTAGGCAGATATCACCTCCATAAAAACAAAGGAAAACTGTCAAGTGTAATTAGGAAGCGCCCCAGATTTTTATGTTGTGGATTACTGTATACAAATCCCCAAGCCAATTAGCGACATCTTAAGTTAACGAATTAGTTCTCTCGCTAAGTTCGCTAAAAAGACATGTTTCACAGTAATCCTATAATTTGCACTATCTGTTGACACTGGCCACTCCCAGCCAGCACCGTACTTGCTGTGGGATGGCTCTTATCAGCTTGTGTCGATCTTTCGTCATTGTAATGGTATTTTTGTGATTTCCGATACATTTGATGTTTTTAAGGTTGTTATTTTTTGTGGCAACACCATGCATGGTTTGTTTCTCTCTTAGTGTCTCCTTCTTCTTGCCATACCCATGATTTAAAATGGTCTACCCCTTACTGCAGAAAATCACATGCTGCTATGCTATCGTTGAGGGCAGTGGCTCAGACTTACGCTGTCTATCACTTGTCCGGAACATACACAGATGTATATATGTACATTGTAATAAACCAAATCTAATGTGTAGCGGTAAAAAATATAATGATGACATGTCGCTGAATAGTATTTTGGATTTTCATTTCTTACGTTACTTAGATTCTTGCTCCCAGACTCTTTTGCGATATAGCAATTCACAGGCCCGTAGCCAGCACTTTTGAACAGGGGGTTCGAAAACAACAATTATAAATTTGATGTGAAATGTGTGAATTTTATAATATTCAAAAAATGTATTTGAACTCTTTTACAGACATTTTCATATTATCGGTTTTAAATTCAATTGATTTACTTTGTGTTACGTTGGTAAGATATTTCACATAAAATCTTTGAACTATTTTACCATTTTAGAGAAGGGGTCCTGAGC